CAATCAGGGAAATGCTCTATCCAATCCAAAATCACCAAAGCTCTATCCAACCGTCTCGCAATAGGGTTATTTTGTTGTTTGTTGGTCCATGTGAACTGAGGCCCCATTGTTCTATGATCCAGTAGCTCCATATTCCCTATCCAATCATTAACAAAGTTCTTCCCCGACTTTAACATCTTAACTTCAATAAGCGGATCCCAAAAAAGCCACACTCTGCTTAACTTCGAGTCCAAACAATTCAAACATTTCTCCCATCCTGCAAACACCTCTTCCACTACCCTTTCTGCCTTATTTGCCTTTATTCTAGTCTCTAACACTGCTACTATATCTACTTTATTATGTTGCAAGACTCTTAATAAGTCCCTTTGTTTAGAGGGTTTATTAAACCCTCTAACATTCCAAAAGAGCACAATCATTTAGAAGACGAGGGTTTGACCCCTCCCTTCTTACCTTCCTTCTTACCATCTTTCTTTCTAGGAACTGCCTGTAACTTCACTGGCTCTCTGTCCTCCAACTTACTAAGGATGCTGAATGTAGAAGTGGATACCAGAAAAGTGTCCTGAGGGCTTGATTTCGGTGACCAGATACGGGGTTTTGCTCCATGGACTACCCGTTGAAACTCAGCCTCGGAAGCAGCTTTGGGATGCCACCTCCTGAAACGAGCTGTCAAGATTTGCTGGAGTGATATTCCTATCCATTGGTGCCCCCCACCATAGCAGTCAATTGAGGATCATCATCATATATTACTATATCTTTGCCCTTATCAGAGCCCTTGGTATTGCTGGACTATTTCTGAGACGGACTAGCATCCGAAGGCTTCTGCACTAGAGCTTCAGAGACAACAACCTGCTGATTCTGATGCTTTGCACAGTCTCCTTTTATGCCAAACAAATGACAAACAGGACAAACTGGCGGCAAATTACAGTAGGTAACCCCAACCTTCAAGGATTGATCTTCATCAGGCCACAACATCACATGATCCAGACATTCACTATCCACCGTAAGCTCGACTAACACCTTAGCATACCCATGTCGATCACCCATCCTTGTTGTATGATCAATACCCAATGGAACCCCTAACCAGCTAGCAATTCGACTAAGCCCTTGGAAATCATAGTACTCAAGCGGCACATTCGCAAGATTAACCCAAATTGGAAGCGCTTTCCACCCTAGATCTTCAACACTAATACCTGCACCCATGGCCTAAGATAAAGCAGATTGTTGAGGTAGAACCATGGCCCATTCTCAAGAATCCATTCACAGACCTTTGGGTTCGGCAACTGAATAAGAAGCATACGATCATAGAGCAGAGAGAAACAAACCACACCATCACGGCCCAGAGGTTGTTTACCCAGCGACGAAGAGCGTACAGTGAGGGCGGATCCTGCAAATACTGACCGACTAAACAATTCTTCCATCTAGCCGCCCCAGCATCGCGAACCACCTTAGGCATACGAAGCCCTCCATTGATCACTTTAGGTTTGATATATGTGAGACGATTGGCCTCCGAGATGCCAAAAAGCGTTGCCCAAGGTTTTTTGGGAACCCCTTGAGCATCGCCAATTGACGCCGCCGAGCTAGCGGCCACCGTCGCACTTACACCACTCATGAGAAAAGAGAAAAGAGGGGGAAAAGGCTACTCCGGCGCAGATGCCGGAGCCAGCAGCGAGCGCACAAGATCAGGAAACCCTCATTACCGGAATCACTTAGAGCACGCACTCAGAGCACAATCCACTAATTAAACAGGGGAAATTCTAATTTACTAGGATATTAATTTATTGATTCATTTTTCATTTTCCATTTTTCCCTAAACTATATTTCAATATGCTTTATCTAATATAAAAATTAATAAAATCTCTAAACATAATATTACTAGAATGGCTTAAGATTTTTTTAATAATATAGATAGATTAATAAAATTAATAAAATAATATAAATAAAAGATTATAAATATACTAAAAATAATAAAAAATAATTAAAAAAAATATTTGAAGATCTATTTAAACCCGTAATTTAATTCACAGCAACATTAAAAAAGCTAAAATAGAACCTAAACGATCATCAATACATCATGATCAAAGAAGGATAAATGGAACATAATTAGAAAAGAATTAAACACAGTTCAGTAATTGAAAAAAAAATTAGAACGAAAAGTAACCAAGTAATAAAAATATATTTTCATAAAAAATAAAAAATAAAAAATAAAAAATAAAAAATAAAAAAATAAAAAATAAAAAATAAAATATTCAGTAACAAATTTAGAATAGAAAATATGACTATAAAAAGAGAATTAGAATTAGTAAATTTAACTAATTCTAAATTTCCTATTCAAAAATTGGTTTGGTATCAGAGTCTTCAATAGAGGATTCCAACTAAAAAGAATTCATATTATATATTTGATTCAGGGAATAATTTAATTATTAGAACACATAATGATAATTGAAAATAATTAAAATGTTAATTAATTCTAAATTCTCTATTCAGAAATTGGTTTGGTATCAAAGTCTTCAATAGAGGAATCCAACAAAACAATAAAAAATGATGTTTCCTATAAGTCCAAATAATTTTTTACAATAATAAAAGTAGAAGGATCAATTATGAAATTTAGAAAACAAAATATTCCAAAAATACTATGTCAACTTTAACAAAATGATTTAATAGTAAACTTAAGTAGTACCGGGTGCACATATAATAGAGTTCACTGGTACGTGATGCCCTATTCTTGATTAAGTAGTATAGCTTCCCTAATTCTCATACTTTAGTGGAACCCGAGATATTTATTCCTATCTAGGTTTCAACAATTGAAATCCTTTCGGGTGTCCTATTCTCTCAATTTGGGATTCGGAAAATGGGTGCGAAGACGAAGAAGGGGATGGGAGATTAGATGGGGTTGGGAGGTTGATTCTTGGCGGCGTCGGCAGGGCTTCAGTGGCGGGCTTCATAATGGCGTCAGAGTGGAAGGACTGAACTCTCGGGCCTCGGCTGCGAAGAAGGGACATAGATTTCATTTGAATCTTTAATCGACGTATCCCAGAAACCGCTTATGATTTGATTGATCCAGGTGGATTGGAATACTCTTTGCTGTCCTAGGGAGGATGGTGGGTTGGAGCTGCGTACGGCTACTCGTATGAATGAAGCATATATGATTAAGAGCTTGGCGCATCCTCACGGAACCAGACGCCCTCTGGGCTAGGGTGATTACAACCAAATACATGACTCTCACGGACCAAGGGTGAACTCCAAAAACCACAGGCTGCCTCTCAAACATGTGGCGATCCTTCGAATTTTTCATTTGTTGCCAACGTCGACGATGTGGACGATCAGAAGCAGGCAACAAACTCGGTTCGTTCAACCTTAACGGCCTCCATTCTGATCTCTCATTCTTCCTTTGTTTGCTTCCTTGTTTCGTCTGTCCTTCTCTCGCCTCAGCCCGAGAATTTCTTTTACTTAATTTAATTTTTTTATAAATAATATGATGTGTCTACCAATGTGGCATCTATGTGGCCTCCACATTTGTGTCACGTAATCAATGGTCAATGTTTCTTTGACCACCATCTGGTCAACCATTATCTATAATGGTCAACGAAATCGTCATGACATAAATGACATATAACTATCATACGTCAGGATATTTTTTTAAATAATTCGACGAAAAAATATTTTTAAAAATACTAAATAGGTTGGGAGTGATATTTTTTATAGATTGGGTTTTGTTAGTGGTATTAACCCTATATTGTATGACTATTGACGTACTATTAAGCATTACCATTAGTTTAAAGATAAAGTATAGTATCTGTACGTATTTTATATATAACTTACTCGTATCGTATTTTATTTAGAAGGCATTGGTTGATTCAAGTGTGCCAAAATTGTCTAAAGCATGACACAAATAAGTAGAAATTGGATCAAATATATGAAAACGATAAAAACAAGAGATTAATAAAAAAGTACGTTGTATATGATTGGATTTTCAATCCGGTTCATTCTTACATGGGTTAATACCTTATTCTGGCCAGAACTATGTGCATATAATTAATTTTGGCCAGTGGTTTCAAAAATTGGATATCCTGACCTCAAATATACACCATATAGTTAACTTGGCCGGACCTGTGTTTTAACCGTCAATTTAGACGGTCAACGCTCTAGCTCATCGCCACAACAACAACAAATAAATAAAAAATTCAAATTCCAAATTGTTTCCACATTTCATTTACCTAATAAAATAATAATAAGGATAAAAGAGTAAACAAAAAAAAATTATTATGTCTCCAAATTTTCCAGATCCACAATCCCTCTTTCATTCATCTTTCATACACTAGATCAGGGCCTGGCCCGTTAGCTAGGAAAGCGTGATAGTCATATATAAGTAAACCTAAGTGTAGCTAATGCTGAATTATATTTCTTGGTTTTTACTGATGTTGTTGGGACTTGTCGTAGCTATTTAGTTTGATAAATTATTCATGAATAATATAGAAAATTATTTGACGTATTTGACTGATAAATTTTAAAAAAATATCAAACAATAGCTATGCACATAATATAATTGCAAACGTGAATTGAACTACACTGGCATACACATATCTTTTTAAACAAAATTTTATCGATATAGAAAGTCTACAAAGGACAACAAAATTGTTGTATTACATAATACATGCACAATCAATCTTCACTCTTCAACAAAATCTTTTGCTCTTCCATGCACTTAGTGTATTGAGTCATATAATGGGCCAAGCATGTCCAAGCGGAATAAACCAGTTTAGATCAGCGTCCGTCACACATCAATTAAAATTGGGACGAGATATGGTGACAACCCCTAAGGGGGTTGTCAGATTCACAACCCACTTCATAGCCCTTGGATACGCTCTCTCTCCTGTCTCTTTTTTTTTTAAATTAACGGTTAAGATTAAAGGAAGGATATTTTTGGAAAGGTAAAAATTTACCACGCCCAATCATTCACCCTACCATATAAAAAGAAAAAAAACCCTAACCCTAACCCTCCATCCTCCCTCTCTCTCTCTCCTCCCTCTCTCCCGTACAGCAGGATTCACCGTCGCAGGTCTTCATCCTATAGGGCCAGAGAAACATGGCCGACCGCAGCGGCGTAATCGCCATGCAATCCTCCGCCTCTCAGCCGATCTCCGCTACGGCGGCAGTCCCTCTCCACGCCGACATCGACGCGGGGAAAGCTTGCGGGATGGGCCCCGGCATCTCGTTCGCGAATTCCGTGAGGGATCGGTTGTGCGGCGGCGGTAGCGGTGCGATTGGGTTGGTTCCGTGCGCCGTGGGAGGGACGACGATCTGATTTTTTGTTTGTCTCTACTGGTACCAATACCAGTGGTTCCCCTATCATCTGGTACCACTATCATCTGGTTTTTTTTTGTGTGTTATTCTCTACTGGTACCGTTACCAATGCTAGTGGTAGCGCTACCAGTGCTAGTAGCGTTATGTTATTCTCTACTGGTACCGCTACCAATATGGTAGTGGTACCGTTGTACTGGTAGCGTACCACTAGTACTGGTACATTTTTTACTGGTACCGCTAGTACTAGTACATTTTTTAACGTATTGGTAGCGTACCACTAGCACTGGTACATTTTTTACTGGTACCGCTAGTACTGGTACATTTTTTAACGTACTGGTAGCATACCACTAGCACTGGTATATTAATTACCAGTAGACTAATAGATTGGTACACTTTTTAACGCATTGGTACATTTTTTCAGGTTGTCGGAGGGAGTCTGCCGGAGAGAATTCGCCGGAGAAAAAGTTTGTCGGTCGATGCGGAGTGGCTGCTGAAGAAAGGAAGAGAGAGAGATAGATAGAGATATTAATGTATAGGATTTAAATTTCAGAAAAAAAATTGTATTTAATATGGATTTTTAATTCCCAATATAATTAATACAAATAAGGTAATTAATATATTCCTTTTTCTCATACCCAAAATACTCTTGGTTGTGAATCTGACAACCCCCAAGAGGGTTGTCACCGTATCCCGTCCCACTAAAATTGATAAACAAAGACTTTCTAAAGGTAGCATCCTTGTTAACTCATTAAATGGGAGAATTAGTAAATATATATGATATGTTTGGAAGAACGCGACGTAAATAAAAAAACAAACTAACTCATGATTCGAATTTCATGTCATATATAAGTCATTGTGGCACTAATGTTGTCTATGCCTGAAAGTCTCTAAAGGCAAGTTAAACTAATGGGCAGCAAATAAAGAGTTCAATCAAAGTGATCGAAATAAAGGCAGAAATTGAAAGCTACAAACCCAAAATTACGATTGACGAAAAACCCACAACAGTAAATGTCATTGTATCAACTATCATATATAAAATGGGTGAACAGATGGGTGTCAGTAGTGCTGACGCCGAACACTATGCATATGCGCTCGGAATGATGGCTGGCATGGTGGATTTGTGATTTCGCTCGTCTGTCAACAAAAAGATTTTGAAGCTTAATTTTCAATGTGACGATTGTAATTTCTCTCTCCGTCGGTGGGGAGTAACAGCTTCGCGAGAGATTTAATTGTCTTGTATGAGAGAAACATGTATGGTTTCATGTAGTATGGTCGTTCATTGCTGGTGGGCATGTATATGTGTTTACCACTAAAAAATCACTCAATACCATATTAGTTATTTTCAAAGAGTGGTAGTGATTTATAAGGCCAACTTAACCATGTTTATTAAATAGGCTAATACCACTGGAAAACCCGAACTATTAATTTTGTGTCATTTGTGTCCTTAAAGTATTCAATATGACATTTGTGTCCTAAACTATTTTTCCGTTAGAGTTGACTAGCATTGATCGTTAGTTTTTAACATAAAGTCTAGTCAGCGCTTATGTGTCATCTGACGTGGAACTTTTACTATTAATTTATAATTATTTTTCATATAAGAAAAAAGAAAAAAAAAGAAAAACAGTAAACAAATTGATTTGGGATTCTCTCCAGCGAAATCGCAACTGCCTACCACCGCCTTTCACCACACAATTTCCAGCCACCGATTCTCCCCAGCCAAATCTCTATTACCCTTGGGATTCGCTCAAACAGCTCGTCAAGATCGGGATGGCAGGTGCTTGTTGTTGGCGATTCCTCGACTCCCTCTGATAGGTCCTTGAAAGGTGCCGTATTCATCTCTACCGATTCGCCACCAAACTCGTCACCATTCCCCTCCATAGCCGGTTAATCGTCATCACCCCAGGCACTGATCCATTCCCCACCACCACATGTGCCAGAAGGAGCGAGATTCAGCACCGACCGCAGTGAGTTGTTCGAAATCAGGGGAAGAAGAAGAAGAAGAACAAGTTCAGTTCGAAATCAGGCTAGATCCGGGAGGAAAACGAAACAAGAAAGCGGAAAATGGAAGGGGCAAATCGACTCCCAGCTCCCACCTTCTCTCCCCCTCTCTATCACCTATACCCCTTGCCGCTTTCCTCCTCTGCCTCGCGTCTCCTCCGCTCATCCCCAATACAAAAGCTAGCGATTGTGGACGATGGTGACTGTGAGCTTCGGGAATCTGGCGGTGACGGTGAGCTTCGGTTTCGGAGTCAAGGGAAGATGAATGGTGGGAGTGGTTGCGTAGCCAGATCTCCTGATCGGCATGCCTCAATCAACATCACCACACCACCATAGGCAGAATTAGCTCAGCCGTTGTCCGAATCGGCGGTGATAGCTTCCACAGCCACCGTCGCCTTCTCCTTCAACGTCATCGATTTGGATTCAAGATCTCTTGATAGCTTCCAAATGGAGAGAGTTGAGGAAGCGAGGTCGCTCTGAAAGGGCAGCTTGTCGTGGGGAAGGTGCCGACGAGATATCGTAGCCATACATGCTGATTGACGGAAGGGATTTGAAGGCGGCGGCGATGGCTGGAAAGAGCTCCTCACTTCCCTTTCTCTGGCTTCTCTCTCGAACATAACGACATGGCAGGTGTGGGAGAGGAAGCGACGGAACGCGGTCCGAAACTTGATGTTTGCGATGTTTGGTATTTTTCTGATTTGAGTTTGTAATTGGAGGAAGCAGGATCGGCCGGGGAAAAGCCGAAGAGCAGGGGGAGTAGCTGAAGAGACGATGGCTGGAAAGAGCTAATCACTTCCCTTTACTTATTTTATATTTTAATTTAATTTTCAGAAACAATATTAACTAATTGAGTTTACATTTTTAAAAATTTTAATTTAATTATGAATTTAAATATGATGTGTCAATGATGTGGCATCTATGTGGCTGTCACGTTTTTGCCATGTCAGCAAAAGTCAACATCAAGTTGACCACCGTCTAGTCAACCGTTATATATAACGGTCAACAAAATCGGCAGGACACAAATGACACAAAACTATCATAGGTTGGGACACGAATGTCATATCGAATACTTTAAAACACAAATGACACAAAGTTAATAGTTCGGGTTTCCTAGTGGTATTAGTCCTAATTAAATTGGTTTAGGCTGAGCCTAAATAATGGTATTTTGGGCTTCATACCAGGTACCTCAACACACACCACTTGACCCACCAAACACCCACCCGTCACGTAAGGGGGTCAAGTGCCAAGCTTTGACACCCTTCAACATCAACCACCCAAGTCGTGGAGACCCAAGCACAAGGGGGTCATGCATGATGCCATCCAAGGTGAGTCGAGTATGACAAGACACAAGAGGGGTCATCGCGAGTACCCCTAGCCGTGGTTGCAAAGAGAGCCAAAATTTGGCTAAGTGTTGAGACTCTCAGCGCAAGGGGGGTCATGCATGACACCGTCCAAGGGGGTCAAGCACAAGGGGGTCATGCATGATGCCATCCAAGATGAGTCGAGTATGACGAGACGCAAGGGGGGTCTAGCCGCCTACCAAGCATGTTGGCAAGTGAAGAAGGGCAACGCGAGTCCCTAGACGTGGTGGCCAAACAAAGCCAAAAATTGGCTAAGTGTTGAGACCCACAGCACAAGGGGGGATGCATGACAACGTCCAAGGGGGTCAAGCACAAGGGGGGTCATGCATGACATCGTCCAAGGGGGGTCAAGCACCGGATACCAAACACTAGGGTGTTAAGCATGATGTCGTGCATTGCTTTGACACTCACCTCTCAAGTACCCAAGCAGGCGTGCTAGGTTCCTTATGCAAGGTCATCAAGTTTCTAAGTAGTCAGCCATGTATATTATTACATGGTAGACCACCTTGTCAAGACCCTGCAAGCATGATGCCACCCCAAGGGGGTCAGTGTGCATACATCGAACCCCCAAACATCCTGGTGTCGAGCATGACGTTGTCAAGGTGGTTAGCACGAGTACCACCAAGCGTGAAGCCTTCACTCACCAAACAAGACACCTCCATTGCACAAGGGGTTAGCTATCAAGTGAAGTCATCAAGTGGCAAGCACGCAAGACAGTCAAGGCGTCAAGCAAGCTACATTAAGCACCAAGCAGTGGAGGAGCGGTTACCAAGATGCAGGTGCATGACGGTTACAAGCGATGACTATAAATAGGAGAAACGAAAACAAAGCAAGGGTTCCACAACCAAACATTTGACGCACAATGTCAAACTTTATCCTTTTCTCTACAAATTAGCCATAGCCTTAGTTTTCGGAGCTCTCACTGAACCTCCATAGGAGTAGGAGTAATTAACGTAGCTTGTTCCCAAAAAACCATCAAATCATCAAACACCCTCGTTTGGACATTGTTCGGAGAGGAGTGAACCGTGTAATTCTCGTTGTTCAAGAAGTCGAACGTGCATTCATTGTGTTCAAACACAAGTTTTTCCTCGCCGGAAAACAAATTGGCACACTTGGTGAGACAACTGTGTGTTTGATTCAATGGCTCCTAGGCGAAAGAATCAAGAAGGTGATCTTCCATATGGTGATGTGGAGGAGGAGCAAGTGGCCGGCGGTGAAGCAGGCCAAGCCGGAGGAGCTTCAGGAAACCTTGCCAGAGCGCAGGTGCCACTCACGTCGGTGCCAAATGTTGATCTAGACGAGGCAGTGGTGTCTCTTTGCCAGATGATGGAAGAGAACCGCAAAGCGACGGAGGAGAACCGCCAAATGATGGTGGAGAGTCGCAGGTTGATGGAGGATGCCAGAGCTATGGCTCATCAGGTAAATTCTCAAGTTGATTGTCTCAATTCCCGCGTTGATAGACGTTTGGGTCAAATGTTTGAGGTAGTTAACAAACATTCAAACGAGTTAGATCAATTTAGACAATTATTAAATGGACCAATAGTACAATCACGAGCTTTGCCAATTGATGGCACAATTTCAACTCCAAATAATGCAAGTTTTACTCCCGTCGGTGGTCGGAATGGCCAACTACGACAAGATAACTTACTGCCGCCGGTGACAACCCGACCAACCTCTCACCACGTGAATCACGGCGAGATTCCCGCCACCACTCAAGTGGAGGCTTCACTTAATGTGGGAGGTGGAGAACTGCCTCCACATGGCGAAAATTTTGCCACTACGTTCAACACCCATGTTGAACAACCGCCATCCATCCCGGTGGCGAGACCCTACGTAGCTCCTCCTAACATGGGTGGGGGAGGAAGGTTAGGTGTTGGGGATCAAGTTCCCCCACGTGCTTACCCAGCACCCATACCACCCCAAGTCCATGGGCATGGTGTGGACCCCATGGGGTTCATACCGCCAGGGGGGAAAGGGGGGCATGATGCTAATTCCCTAAGGGATCAGGTGGCTCAACTCCTTACCGAGCAATTTGGATTAGAAGTAAGGCCCACCATGCCACCTGTGTACTGTTAACCTTACCCGGAATGGGTAGATAGGCTATACCCATTCCCAAGAGGGTTTAGGGTGCCCGAGTTTGCCACCTTCACGGGTACTGGTGACCAGTCCACTATTGAACATGTGGGACGGTTTACTGTGCAATGTGGAGACGTGGGAGACTTTGTCAAGCCGAGGCTTTTTGGCAACTCGTTGACAGGGCCAGCTTTTTCATGGTATGTCAACTTGCCGTCTAACTCTGTCCAAACTTGGCAACAGATGGAACACATTTTCCATGCCCAGTTCTATATATCTGAGTCCGAGGTCTCAATGGCTGACTTGGCACGCATGCGCTAACAGCCAGGGGAGTCGGTTGAGCATTTTTTTACTAACTTCAAAATGCTCGTAACCGTTGCTTTGTCAACTTGACAGAGAGGGAATTTGTCAAGCTTGCTCAAGGGGGCTTGAGTTTTGAGTTATGGAAGAAACTCCAAGACAGAGAGTTCTCGGACTTGTTCCAACTCATGTATTGTGCTGTGAGATATGAGTCTCTTCTCCAAGAAGAGGAGAATACGAGGAGTGCATCAAGGGGGCAATACTTCCCCACAATCAACTATCTTGTTAACCATGTTGGCCAAGAATCCAAAGAGGTGGAGGTAGATCTGGTTGAATTAGCCCCAGGGAAGCCATATGTATGTGCTTCTTTGGATAAGGCTGAAAATGAGCCACAAGGGGGCAGACCCAATAGGGCCCCTATCCAGCCATGCAAGTACTCCTTTGACGTCTCGAAGGCTGACTTGATTTTTGACCAACTCTACAAGGATGGTCAGATCAAGTTGACTGGGGGGGGGGGGGGCATAACATACCACCACCCGAGAAATTAAAAGGAAAGAAGTATTGTAAGTGGCATAACAACATGTCACATGCCACTAACTCAAGTGTGGTTTTCCGTAATATCTTGCAGGATGCTATTGAGAAGGGGCGTATCAAGTTCCTGGAACCAAAGAAGGATGCCATGTTGGTGGATACTGACCCATTTCGCAACGTGGTAGGCATCAACATGGTTAACCCAGACCTCTCCAAAATTGAGTTGCCCCGTTTTGAGTTGGTGTTGGATACAACGCCACCTCAACATGGGAGCTCCAATGCAACTCATGAACAAGGGAGCTCGTTAGGTACAAAGCATGCTAGCCTGACCGCAATGATGACTGTTGAAATTGAGAAGTTGTGTGCTTAGTGCAAGAAGAGCCTCAAACTTGATGAGGCGAGGCCTTTCGCGCACCAAAGACTTGGCCCACCCAACAGGCCGAAATACCCTTCTTATCAGAGACAAGTTGAGGGGGTCGTCCAGCCGGCTTAGGGGCAACGAAGGTAGTGGATAGAACATGGCATTCCTTCCATGCGTAATCCTCCCGTCAGAGGCCCTCCCATGATCATAACTTTTAAGATTCCCAATGTGCCACAAGGAGGGTGGCATACTTATGACATGCGTCGTCAACAACCAGTAGCCATTGGGGGGATGACAAGGACTCAAAAGAGGAGATTCCTACGTAAGAATGCCGCAGCACGGCAGGGGAGGTATCCATTAATACTTGGTGCGAGGATCAGACCATCACAACACAATGATGTTGTTCCACCAAATATAGAGGTGGACAACTCAGTGACTACCGGGCTCAAGGTGACAATGACTGACAAAGGGAAGAAGTTCCAAGTACAGGGTGATGTCAAAGTTCGTGAAGGGGTTGAGGATGACTTCCAAGCAGGAGGTGAATATGAAGATGAGTATGCTGAAGATGACATGCTAGAAGATGAGTATCTCAATCCCAAATATGATAGAGGCAACAAGGATGATGAAGGGGATGACCAAGGACCCCCTTTGACAATCCAGTTTGGAATTTTGCCTCCAGTGGTGGTCACAAACTACATACTACCCATGGTCTTCCAATTCAATGAGGAAGACTGAGATAGGTATGTGGAGGAAGAAGAGGTAGTAGAAGATGTTGGAGATACAGACGGGTCTATTGCTGAGTTAACCGAAGCATTTGCTTGTTTGGAAGTAAGTGGTGAGCCATGGGATGTTAGGATGGCTCGATTGGGAAGTAGGATTGATCTAGCTGTTGAGATGGCGAAACAAGGCAAGAGTTCTCAGAAACTTTTGAAGGAGCTCCATGAAGCAGGTCATAAGAGTGTTGGTTTACTTGGTGAAGATGATGGGAGATACCCTTTTTATGTGTTATACCAGGGCCCTGAAGCTCCATCGTCCTCACCCATCTAGAACCCTTCTTGGGGTTGGGAGGTTGATGGTGGGGCTGAGGGTTTGGTGGCAAAGGAATAAATTTCGACGAGAGAAGAGGAAGTTTTGCAATTATCCACCTTGAATGGG